GTGCGTGCGTGCGTGTGTGTGTGTCCTTTCACACAAAAGCTGCAGTGGCGGCTTCGTATCCGTACATACCGCAAGTGATGTTACAACAGAGAAAACCTAACGAACATGTTCTGCTGTGAGGCATGCATCCAGGTTGTCAGTTAACATCACTGCACAGCTGTTGTTGCAAATAGCTGTCTCGCCACAGATTGAACATGCCGAAATACTACGTGCAAAGAGCTGATTCTGGAAATTATCTGCAGCACACATTAAGGGGAGAATGGCAACAGAGGTTACGCGAGCACAAAAGACATACGTCTCTACTGCAGTAAGCAGGGTACGATGTAATGCAAGGGCACCCACAAACCAACACAACAGCCAGAGAGGACACAATCTAGAAATTACAAATGTTGAGTCCATCCACGAAGAATATCAATATCATCAGCTGACTGCTGCGACAGTAGACGGGGAACATGCTGGTATCTAACAGAATTCGGGTTAGCTACTGCCTTTGATGCGATCCAATACTTTAAATCGAAGGACCCATTCATTCCAAACCCTCGGCCAGGCGGCGAAAGCAGGCATTCGTGGTGAGATGGACACCGGTGTCCAACTAAAGCCTCGCGGGGAGTAGCCAAACATGCTTACAACCCATGGATGGGGAGCCGAATTAAGATCCACTGTTCCGTACATAACTGTTCTTTCGACACAATAGCCAAAGCATGCGAAAGAAGTACTCCAGCAACGTGACCTACGCCTGGTGCAACCTAAGGTTTCCGCCTTAGTTTTCTTCGTCTCGATAGGCTCAGATCTAGCGGCACCGGCTGTCGACCGTCCCTCGCACGCCCGTGAAGGACAGAGATAACTGAGCAGCCACAGCCGCCACCACATAGTTAACAGCAGCAAAGAAGACAAGCCGTGACATGCCGTGACAAAGAGCATTGGCGAAGAAGGTCAAGGTCAAGAAGAAGAACAACACACGAAGACAAACAGCACCGGATGCCCTATCATGAGCGACCAACAACAGACACCTGGGGAAAAACATGAGCAGTAGAACAGCAGCAGCAAGACTGTCCACACGCAGGTCTTTGGACCTGCTGAGGTCCCTCTGATCGCCGGGCTGGCAGCGCGATTCATGTCCACCTGGGTCAAAGGTCAGCTCCGAGGCTCAGGCCCTGAATGGACGCTTAGGGTTTAGGGTGTTTTTTTAAGGTTCAGGGTTTAGGGTTTGGGGGTTGTTTTTACACTCTCACAACTCGGACAAGCCAGGCGAGGATCCGTGTGTTCGCAGTCGGCGTGAAAACAAGATGACAGGGTTGCCCTTAATCTAAGGTTGAAACCATGGGCCCCTAACATGGGCCCTTAGGGGATTCTAGGGTCCCTTAAGGGTATATATAGGGTATATAGTAGGTATATTGCATGGGTTCTACCTTAGACTTAAGGTTTAGGCTTCAGCTCCCTGAAGCTGCCAAAGGGCGACTGGGACTTCGAGGCGTCCGACAAACAGGTGAAAGACTGCAGTCGAAGACTTCGTTCAATCACATGCAACATATACAGAATTTAATAAGATACTCACAGAACGGCCGCAAGACCTATGTTCCACGCAGGTTTCGGAAGCTGCTCTCAACATACACCCACGCACACAACCCACAGGAGACTCTTCAGGGGAGTCGGGCTATCTCTCTTGCCGCTGGAGGCGCTGGCGAAGGCGATCTCGAGACGATCACCTGTGGTGGGAGGGACATCTGACGGCCAGCAAACAAGCAAGCAACCAGGGGTGTCACGCAGATCTCCCAACTTAAAGGCCAGGATCACCCAGCATCAGACGCATGTCCCAAACCCAAAAAAGCATGCCAACGTAGCATTCACACTTGATGTTGCAAGATCTTAACTAGGTTTGGCCACCGACGGGACAAAGCATCCAGCGCGTCTGACTCACCAAAGGAACGATAGCAACTCCAGCACGATATCATGTCTGGAAGCAGCTGGGTGGGCAACATGTCCTTATGCAAGTTTACACGACACCCCCTCGGGAACCCAAAAACTGAAACCCTGAACCAAACCCGACAGCCAGGAACCTCAATTGCCCTAACACCCGAAGCCCTCTAGACCCTGAAAGCCTAGAGACGGGTGGGAATTTTCACCGAACAAGCACCAAAATACACAAAAACTAGCTAAAATCACCTTTCCCCTGCTCTCCTTATAGCTTCTCCGGCAGAGCGACGTGGCGCGCGGGGCTCAAAGCCCTTCTTCCATCCGCGGCCACAAAGGAGATGCCGCCAGGGGGCCCCGGCGAGGCAACCTGATACAAAGGCCATGACTAATTAGAGAATTCTTTGGTGGGGTTTAACTTGTACTTGAATATAAATACACAAAAATATACATGCATACATACATACATACAGACATACATACAGACATACACACAGACATACATACATACATACATACATACATACATACATACATACATACATGCATGCATGCATGCATACATACATACATATACATACATATACATTTCGTTGCATACATGCATCCATTCATGCATGCGTACATACATGCATACATGCATACACACATACATACATGCATATATACATACATACATACATACATACATACATACATACATACATACATACATACATACGTGTATGTATATATATATATACGTATGTGTATGTACATTCAAGCACATAAACGTCGAAGACCT